CCTGTGGTCGGCCTTAACTGAATCTTTTCCCAGACTCCTGATCTCTCAGTTTCTGGGTCCCTCTGGCCATTTCTGAGCCCCTCTGTACCTCCTTCTCCTTCCAGAAGGCCGATTAGATTTGGACAGTGCTGAGTGGGATGACATTCATGTGATCACTGGAGCCCTGAAGCTTTTTCTCAGGGAGCTACCCCAGCCTCTGGTGCCCCCACTGCTGCTGCCCCATTTTCGTGCTGCCCTTGGTAAAGGATGGGAGCTTTGGGCAATACCCTTGATGTGGGGTGGAGGGGAAGAGGGGGGAGCATGAGTGATAAAGAATAGAGTAGAGGTTCCCTTATACTCTTCTGTCCCATCCTGAGCACAGAGATGGAAAATAACTTTCAACTAATGTGCCAAATCCAGTTGTTGTTTTGGTGAGTGTTTAGAGGGCTGAGTTTTAAAGAATTCTAAGGTTGCAGTTGGGCTCAGCAAAAAAGAAAGCTGTGATAGATTAATGATGTCTTCACCGAGCATGGGAAAGAGTAGTGAGTTTACCCACCCTGCCCTAGCACCTTCCCTAACCTCACTCCCATGCCCTTCCCATCACTCTCTCTCTAGCACTCTCTGAATCAGAACAGCGCCTCTCTCAAATACAAGAATTAATAAGCTCAATGCCGAAGCCCAACCATGACACTCTACAGTACCTCCTGGAGCATTTATGCAGGTCAGGAAGACTGAACATCTTTGTTCATGTTGAGAGAGGGTGGGATGGGGCCTGCAGCTGGGACTCTGTGTTCAGATGGGGTGAAGGTAGGGAAACACCTGAGTTTAGTGGGTGATGGAGGAAATAAGCAGCCTCTGTGCAGAGCACATATTACCAGAGTCAAAGCCTTTGCTCAGTCAGCATCAAATGGGGAACTGGGGATCAAGACAAGCCTGGGGATGCTGCGAGAGAAATAAGGAAAATCTCACCCTCTTCCTTCCCTCTGCTTCTTTATCTTTCACTGGGACAGTAGGGATGACTTATTAGGTGGAGTTGGGCCTGGGCAGTGACCTCTGAGAGAGCATAGCCATTTGAATTAAAGCCTCCCAAATTGTGAGCAGAGAGGACTCTAGGGGCAGTCTCTGAAGTTGGGGAGAGGTGGGTGTATCCTAGGTTGTATCTTCAAGGTGTATCGTGAAGGCTTCTCCATTGGTTTCATCTCCGTCCCCCTGGAGGCTCTCTCCTTGATTTTCTTCAGCCCCGGCATGGAGGGATCCCAAAGTGAACTCTTCCTCAAACCTCTGAAGGGTTAGATTTATTTGCAGTGGCAAGGCTGCTGCCCTATGGCCCTGTCTCTTGGCCTTTGCCCACAGGGTGATAGCACACTCAGACAAGAACCGCATGACCTCCCACAACCTGGGAATTGTGTTTGGACCAACCCTATTTCGACCGGAGCAGGAGACATCTGACCCAGCGGCCCATGCCCTCTACCCTGGGCAGCTCGTCCAGCTGATGCTCACTGACTACACCAGCTTCTTCCACTGACTGGGGCAAGGTAGAAGAGAAAATGTGTTTCCGGTGGTTTCTGTTGGTTAGCCTTTGGTGGGGGTTGTTCTGCTTTGAGGATATCCCTTTAAATCCTGTGTCTGCCCGATGACTGTCTCCATCTTTGAGGATATCCCTTTAAATCCTGTCTGCCAGATGACTGTCTCCATCTTTGTGAGTCTGACCTGAGGGGTTGGGAAAGGGTGAGGAAGCTTCTCTAAAGAGGGAAGTGGATGGATTAACCCCTGCTTCTCTAGTTCCCTGTCATCACCCCTCCCCCAAGATAACATATAAAGCAGGGCTCTTTCTGATGCAGTTCCTTTATTATCAGGAAACAGTGTCATTATCAAATTCCTCCCCAAATATAGTTAGACTGTACAGCCCCAGCCCATACCTCCCATCCCTGGGGTATTCCAGGGGGCTATGGCTCCTCCTCCTGACTTCTTTGTGGGGATGGAAACCCCTTAGGAAATGTGGATCTGTGATTCCCCACTCCTTAAGCACTAGAGTTGAGGAACTGTGTCTCCCCAGGCAGGGATCCCAGTAAGACACTCATGTTGCCCACAGCCATGTTGGGGGTCCCAGAAGGAGGTGGGGTATGTTCAGAGCTGTCCCTCTGATCATGGGAGGGGGGAGGACTCAGCCCCTGGGGCTCATCCAGAATAGCCACAAAGTCCAGCTGAGTGTTGTCGAGATCAAGAGAGTCCAGAGGGTTACACACCTGCCCCTCAGGAGGAGGGTACAAGGCTGGGCCCCCTCCCAGCCTGCCCACCTCAGGATGGCCACAGCTGGGGTTGGTTCCCCCTGCCTTGAGGGGCCCATAGCAAGTGGGTAGTGGGGGCAGAAGTCGGGGTGGTGCTGCTGCCCTATGGGAAGCCTTGTTTGCCCCTACTGCAAAGTTTTCATGGCATGGTGAAGGGGTAGGATAGGAGCCTGACTTGTGATTGGGCAAGTTAGGTACAAAGCCAGGTCCATATGTAGCCACTTGTGCCTTGGCAGGGCTCAGGCTAACCTGGGAACCCCCCAGAAACTTGGGACTCTGGTAGAGAGGGTCCTGGACTGGGGGATCTCCCCTGCCCCCTCCCTCCCACAGCAGCTCCTGTTGAGACTGAACATAATTACACACAAGCTGTGCCTTGAGCTGTCCTGTAGAATGAGCAGGGGACTCAAAATCCAGGCTGGGCCTGGGTTCTGAAGGAAGATAATCAGGAGGTGGCTGGGTATAGGTGCCTGACTGGGGATACTGGGGAGGGGGAGGCAGGGGGTAGTGGGAGAATAGAGTCTGTGAGTGTGGAGGCCCCTCACTGGGGTGGGCATTGAGGCAGGGTGCCAGTCCTGTGGAGTCAGAACCCACTGGACACCCCTGTTCTGGCTTCACCTGCACTTGTCCATAATGTTCAAGACGAGGACACTGGCCGTAGGCTCCAGCTGGAGGTTTGGGGCCTGGGTACAGCCCAGAGTGGGAAGGGAACTCACCCCATGTTTCTGGGGTGGGTTCAGGATAGGAGACCTGCTGGGGACAGGGGTTGGGGCCGTAGTTGGTAGGCGGACCAGGCCCAAGAGGCAGGAAGCCTGGACCTCTAGCTCCATAAGGCTCAGCTGCTGCCCCTTCAGGTCCCCCATATCCCAGAGTATCAGCAGGTGGGAAGTCCATATAGGGGTTCAGACCACTGCCCATCATGGAGGTCCCAACCTCTGGCTCCTCCCGTAGCCCTCTGGTATCCATGGCGACATTCTCAGTGATGCTGGTGGGCTGTGGTGAGTAGACAGAGGTTGGGAGTTGGGGATCAAAGTTCCGTCCTCCTCCTGCCACTGTGGGGGGTGTGTGGACACAACCCAAGCTCTTGAACCGCTGGACTCTGGCTGGGGCAGGGCGGTCTGCAGACCGGGCTGGGTCACTGGCTCTCCGGGTGACCCCTACATTGGGGTTGTATCCTGGATACTCGGCTCGGCTTCTCCAGGGAGGTGCAGGTAGACCTCCCATCCAATCCAGGCTGGGTGCTGCAGTGGGTGGGGTACCACCTCCCTTGGCTGAAGCATATCTTGCCCGGAGCAGGTAGTGCTGGGCAGGCGTGAGGCCAGGCAGAGAGGATGCCCCGTTCTCTGGTGGGGAACCAGGGGGGAAAGGGGAAGCCAAGGAGGAGCGGCGGCTGACAGTATAGGCTGAGCTGACGCTGCTGGAGCTGCTGCTGCGGCGGTCAAGAGATACAGGGGGGCCCAGACGGCGGGACCCAGGAGTGCCTGCAAGTGACAGGTAGAAAAGGCAGGGGGGCCAGGGAGCCCTCTGAGTCTCACCCTGCCTCCCCCAAGGGATAGCCTTGTCCTGGAATCCCAAGGAAGGCTTCTTAACTCTAACCACTCAGTTTTGTCTCCTCCTTCACCCATGCCCTTTCTGCTTCGGGGTCACCAGGGATTCAGGGTCGCTGTGAACAGTCCTACAGGTTGTACACTGCACAGTCATAGGGGAAAGCATTTGCATCGTAGACTTTGTATGTTACAACAATTTTCTGATAGATGGAAGGAAAGCGTCTTGAGGAAGGAGGACGTTTTTCTAATTGTACAAAGGAGCTGTATAGCAGCCCTGAAGGGTGAGGTCCTTCTTCCAACCCCAGGCAAGGTCCAGATCCCAGCCTAGCAACCACCCCCAACACCCATCTCTCACCGGTGTGGGTCAAGCTGGGCAGTTTGAGGCCCCGGGGCCCTATTGGTCGTAGTTGGTGTAGCTGGTCCAGCCTAAGGTTCTCAAGGCGGCGAAGAGTAGACAGACCAGTGCCAGCAATGCAAGGCCCCTCGTCCAAGCTAGATAGGTCCTCAGTGCTGCCCCCTGCATTTCCAGTCATTTCCACACCACTGTCTGTATTGGCTGCGCTGCCTGCTGGGGAGTGGTCACTGCTGCAGGACGACTGGGCCCCAGGGCTTGGCTGTGGCTTCTGTGGGGAAGATGAGGGCTAAGGGTGGCACCCATCCCCCTTCCCCACAGTTCCCTGAACTTGGTGAGTGGCTAAAGCCTGTGTCCCAGTGACTGCTTAAGGGTATAGAGAGGGCTGAGCAAGTGAAAGACGAGGGCAAAAGGTGATGAGAAGAGCCTAGACTACCTTGACTCAAATTTGGGCTCTGTGACCTTGAACAATTTCTCTATGCCTGAGTTTCCTTATCTGAAAATGGGGAGAGTAAGTTCCTTTCTCATGAAGTTGTTGTGAGGAGTACGTGAAATTATACAGGCACAAGGCCTAAAATAATATACTAATTCCTATATATGAGTTTGTTGAACCCATGAAATAATTAATTACACTAAAATCCCTAGATTTGAGGTAGCCCAAGGAGCAAAACTTGGATGAGAGACTGGGGGACCGGCCACAGGAGAGAGATTTGCACAGGAGGCGATGGACCCGTTGGGAGGGGACTAGAAGTATGTCGGCAGGGCAGGCGGGGGTATGGAGGCAGGGGCTGCCTCACCGTGGCACCCTCCGGCACAGTCAGTCTGCTGTCCTCCCTGATGGGGGCTCCGTCCCGCTCCCTCTTGGGCTCCACTGTGGAAAGAGCCGGTGCCCGGGGCAGGGGGCCATCTCCTCGGTGCCGCTTGGTCACGTGGGCGTCAGGACCATGCACTGTCTTGACATGTTTCCGGAGCGAGCTGGGATCTGTGTAACGTTTGGTGCAGCCAGGGAGCTTACACACATAGGGCTTCTGTTGAATGGAGAGTGAAGACAGCAGGCAAAAGGATCAAAGCGGGAGAATTCAGAAGAAATGGGAAAAAGTGGTGGTAAGTGGGGACCAGGGGGGTCAGGGAGGAATGCATAGCACCCAAGGAAATGAGAGTAGGGCCCTTGGAGTAAAGGATGAAAGGATCAAGGGGAAGATTAGGAAAACTGACAGCCCAGGCCTGGGAAAGATGAGGGGGTGAACACAGGTCTGTGAGGCCTCATAAATTCAGGGGTTGAAGGGACCAGGGGGTCTGTTCTAGTTAGAATGTGTCTATTTTAGTTTAGCCCTTTGGCTGGTTAGAGGAGTGGTGGTAAGTGGAAATTCTTGGTTTCAGAAAGACCTTCTTCAGGTGAATTATATGGGTCGGGGGTAGGGGGAACTCACCTCTGTGGAGTGGGTGCTGGGCTAAGGGATTTCTTATGGGGGAACCTCCCCAGTAGGTGGCTTCTTTAAGTGGGGAGGGTCTCTTGAGTGGGGCATTCACCTCATTGGAGTGGGTCCGATTCTGGTGCTTGGCTCGGTCACTGGCATTGCTGAAGGCTTTACTGCAGCCCTCATGTTCACACATGTATGGCTTCTCACCCGTGTGTGACCGCAGATGTGTCTTCAGATTTTCCAGGCGTGAGTATGACTTCCGGCACCCCTCAAACTAGGGGACATGGGGGTCAAAGGATCGCTCTCAGACAGAAGGACATGGAGATTAGTGGAATCCTGAATCTCAAAAGGGACATACATCAGAGAATATAACTCAGGATGGGAGAGCACTGGGGCTTCAGAATTCCCAAAATTCAGGGACAAGGGCAGGCAAGAGCTGGGGGAACAGAAGTAGCTGGAGGAACTCGGCCTGCAGGGACATGGAGCTGAGGCAGCAAGCAGCCCCTGGTCCAACCAGGGCACGTCTTCTGCATGGGGAGCCCAGACTGTCTTAGGAGGGGTCATCCGGGGAGTGTGTGTCCTCAGTGCAGGGCTTCCCCATTAGGCAGAGTTCCAGACCCAGTGCCTAGGGCCCACTGTACTTCTAGGGGCCCACAAAAATATTTTAATTTCTTTTAAAAACAAGGGGAAAAATTAGCTTTTAGGTCCAAGAAAGTGTTCTAATATATAATATCAATATGTTCATCTTCATACCAACCTAGTCATAAAATACAATTTTTGAATATTTGTTTATGGAGGAAGGGACCTATGAAGGCAAAAGTCAGATTGGGCCCTGCCTTGGTGGGGAGCCCCGATTTAGAAAGGAACCCTGAGCTTGGGGAGGGGGTGCCTCACCGTGCACTTATGTGGCTTCTCGCCTG